TAAACCCCCAAACTTCCATTGCTGTTACCTGAACAGTAGCTTAGATTCTGTTACTGACAGCAGGGCACATATATAATAGTGGGGTACCTATACACACCTATTCCATGTCACCACATCCCTATCCCTGTATTACTCACAGAAAAACAAACCACACAAGGATTAAATAGAATGAACACAGAAAAAAAAAAAAAAGCTAAGCAGAGCACATTACAAGGTGGTTCTGTTTTGGTTTTTTTTTTTTTAAGAAACAGGACATGACTTCATTGACACATCAGTTTCAGGTCCGTACTATTCACACACATCATTTGGCAGAGGAAAGCCATTTTCAGAAAAGCCATACAGAAAAAAAGGTAAAGAATAATTAGAATAATTACTTGTTTTGGTAGGTACTGATGGTCACGTGTGTAGAACAGGAGATCCCAAGAGGAGTGTCAGCTTGGTGAATAGTCCCTCTTGGGAAGTACAGTAAGTCACCTGGCTGCAAGAAAATGTAAGAGAACTGATATATTTAGGGCACCTGCTCAAACCTTATTGTAGTCAAAATAGAGAAAATACTCTCCGAGCAGACTGACAACATATATTCTTTCAAATGGCAAAATAGATTCTCCATTGTACACTCTAAGAAGATAAAATAAAGCACTCTAAGCCAGAAGTCCGATACGTTAAACTTTCCAACTTCCCATCAGTATTTACCCAACACCTGTCTGAAAACACAAAGCAAGTTTTTAACATTATAGAACACACACGCTCCAACTCGGCTCCGTAAAGGGGACAAAGAAGCAGCTCAGATGAACGTGCTGACAATACAGCGGGCTAGCAGAGGAGCAGTGCAATGTGAATTTGGTCAGATCCCATCAAAAGAAAAGGCCAGTATTCCACAAGAAAAGCCAAATATTCTATAAAGATGGTAATCTGTTACAATACTGTCGTCTGAAATTTTCAGTTAAAACACTGAAGAGACAAGTATAACCTTCCTCCTCCCTATCTTTCTTCTCACCTATCTACAGTAAATGTCCACACTCATTAAAATTTAGATTAGGAAAGTCAAGAGAGAAGTGCAAAGCACATGAAATTACCTCCAGGAAGGAAAAAATCTATTTACTCACGGTTTCTCTTATAAACATCTATATAGTTGGATAGCACAAAGAGAAAATTCATAAAGCAACAATGATGAAATTTGCTTCCATTTTAATTTTACCTTTCCTTAAATTTGGTCACAGCACCTACTTCTAAGAGCCTACCGAACTAACACAGATATATTTCAAGTGACTACTACTTCATTTTTCACTGAATTGAAAGGTCTCTTTAGATTATGAGGTTTCACAGGACTTGGCAAGATCAAGTCTCTTTATCCATTTATAACAACCTGTAAAGCACCACAGAGCAGCTACGTACGATTTACTCATTCCGAAGCAAGCCCCTCTCTGCCATTAATAAACTGCCTTCCTTACCAGCGCAGGGACTACACTAACCAACTCTGCCATTAATAAACTGCCTTCCTTACCAGTGTAGGGACTACACTAACCAACCAAGAGTATTTTGAATTCTCTTCACTTGCTACGTTTCACATCCCCAGCAAGAAACAAATGGAGGGAGGGTCGCATAGGGGAAGGGTAAGAGCCCTGAACACCTACCAGAGTGATGACAAACTAGTGTGAAAAAAAAGAAATTATTTCATGCTGGAGCATTCCATGCCTCCCACGAAGAAGCCAGGATCATGATTTTTCAAAGCCATCTTCACTGCAAAGACCGACTCTTGTTCATCTTATCTGCTAGGTAGTCTCATCAACATCATTCACATGAGCCAGCAAGCACAACGCTCTTCAATTAAAATAATCCCATCTTATCTGCTAGGTAGTCTCATCAACAACATTCACATGAGCCAGCAAGCACAACGTTCTTCAATTAAAATAATCTGAATCTTCACAGATTCCAAGCGGTAACACCCAGATTGGGGCAGGACAGAGCATTTGACAAGAAACAACATGGATCTGATCCCTTTGCTCCCTTCTTACTTCTGAATTGGAAGAAGGAGGGGCAGAGAGGGGAGAAGTACCAGCAAATTAAATGGAAAATCATACATGATGAAGGCTAGATAGCCGGCTACCAAATAAGCTCTGTGCTTGACACCAGTAACAAACCAGTCACGGTCACAGCCTGTTACAGTGTCACCAGTGTGGGACCTTACACACAAAGCAGCCGGCTGCGTGGTTTGGGGGGGAGGGGAGACCCCCGCCAATATAGCCGGTAACTGGGCCATTTGTTCCAAACTGCCCAAGGACGGCAGAGTGTAGACAGAAATGCAAAAAAGGACAAAGGAA